ATCTCTTGACCATTATCACTGCGAGCTAAGACAAATATTTTGCTTCTTTCTACATAACTTGGAGAAGCGTACTTGCGAATATCAAAGCACTCTGTAATGCGTTTCTCGCAAACTCGCCCGGTGTATCTGTTCTGACATTCGCAAGTGAATTTTTCTAGTGGAGAATGACAACGCTCTACGCATGTCCCTCCGTTCATGCAGGGCTGAGATCGACAACAGCCATTATAGCAATCACCTGGCTTTACCATGTTTGATGTCTAAAAAAAGAAGGAGTTAAAATACGAAATAGGTAAAATAGGAATAGATCGAAGAATATCGATGACTATAGAACTCATGTTTCAGTAAATCGAACAGTTGGTCAACTTTGGTTTCTGCAGTAATTTGTATTAGTGTTGCATATCTTAAAGATGAACATATCTTAAAGATGAAGAAGAAAGAAAGACAGAAAAAGATCGCGAACAGAAATGACAAGGACTATAACAACAAAGGCATCCAGCTGAGGATAGCTTAGGGGTCGTAAATTCTTATTTCGTTATTTGCTATAAAGTTACTTGCTTGAGTTGTTTGTTTGTGTAACAGTTCTAAATTTTGATTCTTCCGTTAAATGCATTTACTTTTTATTATAGAATTGGAGTTGCTTTTCTTCAGGACACATATTTTGTGCTGAACTGATTTTTCAATAGCCTGTGTACATCCCGGTTCCCACCCTTCGCCCCCCTGCGGAGAAAAACGGATGTTCACACGCTAACTTTTCAAGTAGATTAAACGAGGATTGGAATATTTGTTTAAACCTATCATACATTGATACGAAGCATTTTTTGAATCTTTTGCACCCCAGCATGCAGCAATCGACCAATTTTTCAAGTAGATTGAACGACTGAGGATTGTGGCAAAATGGAATATTTGTTTAACCCTGTCAGATATTAAAACGAAGTATTTTTTGAAACTTTTTCACCCCGGCATGCAGCAATCGACCAATTTGTTGTAAGGATATTTTCTATATCACTTTAATAAGGATTTGCTGTAATCGATAATTTCCTGAATATGAACTCACCCCTTGGTAAGACTGCTGATCCAAATCCATGTAGACGTACCCAGGGCCTGAATGAAAGAAAGCGGGCTTGAATGTTCGATCATAGTCCAACAACTCACACACACCATCCTTCATCTGACAAGCGTTGCAGCGGCAATCTTGAATGCAGTTTGCATAGCACACGTTTTGGTCATACGTTGTAATGTTCTTGTAAGAAAAACCAACCATTTGCTTGTCTGGGATGACTTTCTCTGAATTGGGAAACCAACTTCCTCGATAGCACGTTCCTTGGCACTGGAATGAGCCCGCGATGACTTTTTGAAGATGCCCTAGTAGAGCTAAGGTGGTCACAACATATCCCATCTTATGTGATGATATGTACATTTTGAGATAAGTTGTTTAGAGATTCGTTTTAGTAGCTCACTGCTTCGTATCTGTCTTGTAAAATGCTTTGTCAGTAATTATGATTAAAAATTAACGTATTGCCTCCAAAGTAGCGGCCTCTTAGATTAATTATATAAGTCGACAAGTGAATATGCGTCATTGCTTAGCAATCGTTTTCCACCTGTTTCAAATTAATCTTTAGCAATGCAAAAATTGCCTTGAAAAGACAGTGTCTATAGGGACTGCATGCTGCATCATTGTATTAAAATGTGAGTTTTTTTTTGCAATGGAACTGTATTTTTTTCGTTGCAAGAGGATACAAAATACCGCCAAAAAAATCGAAATGGTAAAGGGTTGATGAAACTACAGCAAATCGTAAGAAAAGTCACATGATAGCTGACTTGACAGCATGACGTCACAAGAGCAACAATAACCACATTGTAGATGAATCACGTACGGTGAACACCGAACTTTATAACAACAAACAACTTAAAAAATAGTTAATTATTGCACGAAGCGATAATCCTGTACACCAGATGCATGATGAGCAATAGTGATTTGTCGAGTCAATGCAATTCCTTGATGAGAAAAGAAAAGAAAGCTTGTTCAATGGTTCATTATTAATGACCTGACACTGAAAACAAACGCCCATCCATAAACAATGGTGTACATTGTTGCTCCATGATAAAACATTCGTAATGTCTTTATTTTCAAAACAGTTTCCTCAAATGAGCACCGAAAAATGTTTTCCCTCTATTTTTAATGTGGGTTTCCTTCGTAKACGTCAGCCACCTTGAATATTTTATTTCTTTCTTGGTTACGATTTTGTTTATCTGTTGACCTCTCATTGGCGTTTTGTAGCCCCCTTAAGGGTGGGAATCGAAATCTTAACTCGGTCGAATGTCTATGGAAATGTATCAGTGCAACGCGTGTTTACTTCTCGCTACTTGTATTAAGTTTGGTAAGAAGGAGGTCGTACTCCTGACCTCCTCCTCCTTATAGGACATCTATATATGGGAATGATGTGGTCTAACTACGACGACTCCTTATTCATAACTGGTGGAAAATCCGGATCCAGCGGAGTTAAAAGCGGTTGGAAGTCAGAAATAAATACGTCCAAATAATTGTGGAGTATGATAAAGAAGTGGGTACCAGTCTCCACTCCAGTCATACAGCCAAACAATGAAATGAATTTTGATACCATCCATTACAAAATGTTTCCCTTCCTGGAATGTCTATAATTACATTAGGTCATACGAGTTTCCAAACCACCAGTTGGTAGTCGCGCTGTTGTTGTTCACACATGTGGAGGCTTTGTTAATAACGCTATAATAACCAAAACTGTCTTCGCTGTGATGGCTGTGGTCGTGGTCGTGAATTGCTGAAGCGTTACAACGTCCAAGAGKCATGTCAACGTGAAGATGCATAAGTAAGGTTTGCCACATTTTGAGCCGTGCATTTTTATATTCATGACCTCTAATGTTCAACGCCAAAGCTGTGATACATTTACTAGGGAAACTTGTCACCGGTATCATGGGATCGAATTCGCTGAAGGCGGCCATTAGGAAGTCTGGTCTTATTCGATTTTGTTTTCTGTCAAAGCTGCACGTAGCTGCAAAGAACTTTGTTTTCGACCTCAAGTATGTCATCATTGCCAAGGAGAGTCTGTAGAGCGACCAGTTTGGGTTTTGGGGCTTTTTTGGAGCGTCCTCGAAGAATTCTTTATCTTGGAAATACCGATTGTTTTCCTTTGTAAATGATTCAACTAATGTCCATGAGCTGTTAGCGAAAATGCTGCAATACACAGAGATCTCTTGACCATTATCACTGCGGGCTATGATAAATATTTTGCTTCTTTCTACATAGCTTGGAGAAGCGTACTTGCGGATATCAAAGCACTCTGTAATGCGTTTCTCGCAMACTCGCCCGGTGTATCTGTTCTGACATTCGCAAGTGAATTTTTCTAGTGGAGAATGACAACGCTCTACGCATGTCCCTCCGTTCATGCAGGGCTGAGATCGACAACAGCCATTGTAGCAATCACCTGGCTTTACCATGTGGGATGTCTAAAAAATAAGACAGAAATTACACTGTAAAAAAGGTAGATTAAATGTCAAGGTATGCGGTAAGATATTTTTAGGAGTACAATTCGACACAAATACAGAACAGTGCAGTTAATTCTCCGAGGCTGTTTGCTATCGCTAACTGTAATTCAAGCTACAGACCTGCACAACGTGTTTCTAATTATATTGCTATTTCTTAACTTATAACTCACCCCTTGGTAAGCATGCTGATCCAAATCCATGTAGATGTAGCCACGTTTCCAACGAAAGAAAGCGGGCTTGAATGTTCGATCATAGTCCAACAACTCGCACACACCATCGTTCATCTGACAAGCGTTGCAGCGGCAATCTTGAATGCAATTTGCATAGCACACGTTTTGGTCATACGTTGTAATGTTCTTATAAGAAAAACCAACCATTTGCTTGTTTGGGATGACTTTCTCTGGATTGGGAAACCAACTACCTCGATAGCACGTTCCTTTGCATTCGAACTTGCCATTCACGTATTCGTGAAGATTCCCGAGCAGAACTAGTATAAATATATTTGCTACATGTACCATCTTTCAAAAAGTCTTCAAGAAGTTCGTCTTTACACAATTGTCATACAAGGTATCTTAACAGCCGACGCGATTTTTTTCTTGCATGTAAGTCGTTTAAATAGCCTTGTTATGATATAGATTATATTTAAATATTAAACGGAATTCCAACAAGGGCAGATCAGCATTATGTTCTCAGAATGACAAGTGCTTATGAAAATTAAACATCAACATCAACACGTCAGTGCAGAGTGTCCAGAATAACCGGCAAAAAAGTGTTGGAAAAGTAACTGTGAAACGGCAGTGTGGACGTCTAATACTCATCAATGTATTAAAAGGATTTTTTGGGGTTCAACAGTTTGTGAGAAAACACATTTTTTTTGGCGAGTGTGCCAACTTGACAGCATGTCTGCCTCGAGCAACAATTAATAAAACATTACAGATATGGCTCTTTCAGGCGATCAAAGTCAGTTAAACATCAACACGGTTGGAATATTTCAAAATACAGGGAAGTACGACAGTTCTTCCGTCTTGAACGTATAGCCATGTTGAAAGTAAAGAGGATTAGTGATTTGGCGAGAAAGGTGTTCATCGATGAGTAAACGGGAAGGCGAGTTAATTGCGTATTCAATATTCATATTTGTCAATATAAATAGTATAACACTGTGCCAACACAGGATGTTAAAAACAATTTATTTCGCTTGTAGCTCTTTACTAAGACGCGAAAATTGTGACTAAATGTATTTGAAAAGAAATGTGCCTCATTGAAATTTGTTGCAAAGCATTCGGACCGATTATATATTCCTTGTGACGTCAGCATGCATGTTATGTATTTGAGTGCACTGTTATTTTTAAGGAGCTGAAATAGCTCCACCAATGTGAGTAATCTACTCTACAATGAGTTTTACTTCAGAGTCATAAATTACCCCAAAAAGGACTTAAATGTTCTCTTGGTGGAAGAGTCAGTTATCTGATACCATTATTTTACTCCTCTTTTGGAGTTATATCATCAACCTCTTGAAAATATATTCATGCTGATGCCATTTAACGGCATTTATAAATTTGGCTTTAAATTCATGCAAAAAAACGTTTGTTTGCTATCATGATTCAAATTTTGGGCCATTGTTGGCGCATGCCCAATAATCTCCTAAGAAATAAATACTAAAGTAAGATAACGACGCCATCTTGGTTGTTGTTGTTGTTTTTTTCGTCTGTGATCAACATGGCAGTACTCTGCGAACAGAGCTACTTTTCTCACCCGCCGAGAAAGCCAGAGAAAGATATGACATCGCCTAATTCCGATTATAACATCCAAACTTCTGGATGTAAACATTATGGACTATTCATTGAAAAGCTGGTTATCAACCGGTTTTCACGTCTACGTCATTATCACCTTGCGAATTACCGCGCTGGTTATTACTGTGGGCTCTCAAGCGAATTCAATACGGCGGTAAAGGTCTCTCTAATCGTGAACTCGAAGATTTGGTTAGCATTTGCTTGAAGAAACTAAATGTAAACATACAAAAACTATCAAAACATCAATTCGTCGCTCTATTTCCCATTATGTCAAAATGATACATTCGTAAACCTTCCAACAGGCCACGGGAAGTCTCCCTTATAACAACTTTCTGTTTTGGTTTGTCATTTGGCCCCTTGATCTTTAACATACGTCATGCTACGTCACAGTCGCGCATGCTCAATGGAATAATAATCGGAAGTTGGTAGAGGTATTTTTCTCTTGCTTTCTCGGCGGGTAACATGGACTAAATATAACTCGAGAATTCCAACCGGACCATGGAGCACCTAATAGTCACACATACCGCTACATTAAATCAAAGGAATTTCCAAACCACCAGTTGGTAGTTGCACTTTTACTGGTCAAGCAGGTAGAATCTTGGTTGATATTTCCATAAAACCCAAAGCTATCTTCACTTCTCACCGTTCCTGGAATAACCGGGAAGTTACAATGTCTATGACTTACGTCTATGTGAGCATGGTGAATCTTTTGCCTCTGCCATAACGGTATTCTTGCATTAGCAAATTCGTGATCTCTGATATTCAAGACTAAGGCTGTAAAGCAATTTGCACTTCTGTCGACTGGTTTCATGAGATCTAATTCGCTGAAGGTGGCCATTACAAAGTCTGGTCTTATTTCATCGTATTTTTTCTCAAAGCTGCACGTAGCTGCAAAGAACTTTGTTTTCGACCTCAAATATTTCATCATTGCCAGGGAAAGCCTGTAAAGCGACCAGTTTGGAGTTGTGGGATTTTTTTGGACGTCTTCGAAGAACACCGCACTTTTCACATGTGCGTTGTTTGACAAGGAGAATGATTCAATTAATGTCCATGAGCTGTTTTTGAAAATGCTGCAATACACAGGAATCTCTTGACCATTATCACTGCGAGCTAAGACAAATATTTTGCTTCTTTCTACATAACTTGGAGAAGCGTACTTGCGGATATCAAAGCACTCTGTAATGCGTTTCTCGCAAACTCGCCCGGTGTATCTGTTCTGACATTCGCAGGTGAATTTTTCTAGTGGAGAATGACAACGCTCTACGCATGTCCCTCCGTTCATGCAGGGCTGAGATCGACAACAGCCATTATAGCAACCACCAGCTGTCTTCACCATGTGGGATGTCTAGAAAAGTAGCAAGATGAATTAGTCCAAGAGAAGATAGTCATAATAACCTTCACTTTTAGGGATCATGATTGCTTGGTTTCTTAGTTGTCGTGGTTTTAGTTCGATCAACTTAAAAAGTTTTTAGGGATGTCATTTTTAGCTTGCCTATGCATTTCCATGACAAAAATTGGTTGAAATTGTTTTTTTTTATAGAATATTTGTTAAAAAACACATGCGAAGCCCTAAAAGCGGCATTTGTAATCGTTATTAGAGTATTAGGAAATAATACAAACTATCCGCGATGTGTTTAATTTCAAATAATTTAGTACGACGAAAAACAATTTCAGAATAAAACCTTCTACATATTCCTTTAAAAACTCAAGAAAATAAGCATAGCTTAAAACTACGAATAAGTTTTATTCAAAGAAAGGTTTGGTCAAACAAAGATGCAGCTATCCACCTATTAATTGGTTTTAATCAATGCCGTTTCGAGTTCAAATTCTCAAATGATAAGCTCATCTTGGTTGTTAAGAATTGTTCTTTCGGAATGTTCAAGTCAATATATAACTCACCCCTTGGTAAGACTGCTGATCCAAATCCATGTAGACGTACCCAGGGCCTGAATGAAAGAAAGCGGACTTGAATGTTCGATCATAGTCCAACAACTCGCACACACCATCCTTCATCTGACAAGCGTTGCAGCGGCAATCTTGAATGCAAGTTCCATAGCATTTGGTTTTGTCATTAGTTGTAATGTTCTTGTAAGAAAAACCAACCATGTGCTTGTTTGGGATGACTTTTTCTGGATTGGGAAACCAACTTCCTCGATAGCACGTACCTTGGCACTGGAATGAGCCCGCAAGAACTTTTAGTTGAAGATGCCAAAGCAGAGCGAGTGCAGCTATAGCCTGTACCATCTTGAATTCTTACAATGTGTTTGAAAATAATACGTTCTTAGATCTTTTAACAGTTGCTTATTGTGTACTTTGAGAGTATTGTAATTATCATTAAAAATTTAACGAATTGCCACCAGTAGCGAATGGATTASTTTCACAATTCCTGAAAAATGTTCTTCAATTGGTCTTGACTCCTAGCTTGTCAAAGCCTTGATTCATTATTCTTTATTCTCACTAGCTGATTCCTTGACTTAAAGCTCAAACATTCAAAATTCATTTACATTTCAAGTGATCAATTTTTGTTTCTTTGCAATAGAATTGTCTTTAATTAATCGCATAAATACGTCACGCCAAAACTTTATATTAATGTTTTAACACTATGGTCGCCAGTGGGGATCAGATTGATTGCATATCATGTATTTTATCATTGATACATGATATTTAACTCGATACATTGAAGTTCTACTTACGGAAAGAGTATCAATAGATGCAAATTTTAATTCCACACCTTTTCCGGGAATTTTAATTTTCTAGGGATCTATCCCTAATGTAAACATGCCGTGCAATTATGATTATATTCTTAGACAAAATCATATTTAAAACAACCCGAAAAAGGCACCAAAAGCAGAATTTAATTGTTTTAGAGGAATGATAAGTTTTACAAGACATTTTGTACTTTGTTATGCGAACGTGATTGAAAACAGGACAACAAACTGTCAAATATAAATCATTTTTGCTTCGCTGAGATATGCTGCTGAGAGCCTGAAGATGGCCAAGTTTTCCTTATTTATTTAATGTACTGCAGCAACTCAGATGTGTTACCTACTTATCAAGACTAGGGTCGGACGTACCCAAAATTGAGAAGACTGACTGACTATCTCTGTGATTGACTTTTGGTATAGATATCAGCATTGTATAGTTACTTACATGTCCATCGAGTGGGCTACGAGTAATAGTCCAGATATAGAATAGATTAGAATAGAATAGAACTTCATTGAACAAATTACAGCTGCAAGGATAAACTTGAGAGCTGAATTGCGTAATTTAATAAAATACAAAGGAATATAAGAAATACTATAATGTAGTGTAAAAATATATATGATATATGAATACTAATATAATGCACGTGATAAAAGACGGATAAATATATATATATGTATATTAGGTACAAAGGATGATGGTGATAAAAGATTTGTAAAAAATGGTCCTTGTTACTATTTAAGATCATAAACCTTAATAGTTGCCTTTGGAAACTGCATGTTCCTCAAAACACAGTCGCCCTCGGGTGACTAATTAAAGTCCAGGTTCTCTCGTAGTTTTCGAGGAACGCCTGTGGGAACATCCAGCAGTTTTCGCATAATGTATCGCGCAATGATTGGCTGGTGTCAATAACATGACACCATCACGTCTCGCCCACACGCTCAGTTTGAAGAAAAGAAAGACTTTCACTAATAGTAAACTTTAGATATTTTGCTTCGATGACTATACAAAAGAACGCACACGAGGCTCCGGGAAAACAACGCCGATTTCTGTATGATCCTTCGATTCAAGTCATCTAATTACATTGAACAACTATTTATATAGTAAACATATCAAACTTAAAAGTGACGCAAAAAGTCCGTAATCACTCAAGCGTAACCTGACAGTCCGTATGAAGGCCATTTAATTTTGAGCGATTTATGGCTGTTGTTCTCATTGTTCTCCAGCGTTACACGGTTCGCTTCAAAAAACTGGGCCTCGCGCATAACTTATTTAGTTATGAAAAACCTACCAGCAAATTCAAATAACTTATGAAATTTGGCGCATTTTGATATGTGATACATCAGCTATCGTTCTGACCAAATGCTTGCGTAAAAATGGTTTTAAGAGTATTGTATGCTGTGGTTTTGATTATTCTTATGAAGGCTATTGAAGTAAAAGCTATTGTTGAAGAGTCCCAGGATTTCGGAGAGCAAAATCCGAGATAATTTTTAAAAGCCTTTTGCTTTTCTAATGACCGTTAAACCTATATATTCTTTAACAAAATGCCGTATTTGTGCTCTTTTTTAGCCTCTCCATTTACAACATATCAAAAGTCAGATCTAATCTAAGCAAATGTCTACCGATGTATGGCTTGAAGTTTGATTTGATTCGTTCTTCAACTTTGATTACAAAAATATTCTTTATTTTACAAAACTGTCACAACAGTTCTAGATAATATTGGTTAATTGTCACATTGGTTTATCAGATACAACGCGGACGCCCAGATGAACTTGAAATTACTCTGCGAACAGAGCTACTTTTCTCACCCGCCGAGAAGCGAGAAAAGTAGCTCTGTTCGCAGAGTAACTTGAAATGTGCACTTCTAGGAAATATCCACACAATGACCCTTGCTGAAATCGAAAAAAATGAAATCGCTGATTATCAAGTATGCTGATATAGAGGATATTACATATGCGCGCGGGGATACGAATTTTATCTTCGAGTTTTGAAAAGATCTCTCACGAGTGACAGATTTTCAACACGAGAAGATAAAATTCGTATCTCCAAGCGACACTGTAATATTCTATTTATCATATAATCATATATGGAAGCAAATTACGTACTGTTTTAAAATAACTTTTATGTAACTCCGATATATAGAGATATCACTAGTGCCGGAAAATAACAGCTTTGCGCGATGGAGAAACGTAGGGCATTTCATAGATAATTGTATGATACTAAATGTAGTTTTCTGTGTCGTGATCTAAACGGATAGCAAGCATACTCTGGACACTCGTGTGGAGATTCCATGCAACAAGACGAAAAACAATGTATTAAAAAAGTCTTAAACATCAATAAGTTGTTTCAGCTATTTTGTACGATGTAAAATGTATCTTATTCCGCACAACTGTTTAATCAGAAACACAAACGCAGGTCACGCAGGTCACGCTAGTTTATCCCTCGTTTGAATCACACCAAAAAGTGAAATATTTCACTAATTTACTAAGTTACTTGCAAGCATGTCCACTTCCCAGTTTTCTGGCACACTGACTTGCATTGTTGGTCATTCGAGCAACCTCTAGCTGCGCAAAGGAGTGTTCTCTTTACTGGGGCAGCGTCACGTTCCAAGTCATTCCTGATAAGTGCGCGTATGAGGACTTCATCCTGCATATTTGGTGCTGCATGGCTCCTTTAGATTGGGGAAATGACTAGGTGAACATTGATACAAAATGCAAATTGTATTCGCCGAGAAAGAAAATTATATTGTGCATATAAACTCGCACTCGCTATTACCGGGACCAGTCCAGTGCAGACAAGAACTGGAACACGGTCTTAAAATGCTGCGGCTGCCTCTTTTCAATGCAGTGATACTTCGATTCAAGTCATCTAATTACATTGACCAACAATTGATAGTAAAACTTCGTTCCTCAACTTTGATTAGAAAACAAATTCTTTATTTTACAAAATTATCACAACAGTGCTAGGTATTATTGGTCAATAAGTTATGAATTGGTTTATCACATATCACGGGGACGCCCAGCTGAACTTGATATGAGCACTTCAGTTGGGACAGGAGCCCATTACTCCTCACTCAGGAGTAACATCCACGCATCCTCCCCGGCTGAAATACAAGAAAATCGACATCAATTAGATCATGTAAGCATCCTCTGTATCAAGCCGATTAAAACAATGTATCAAAATTCTGTTGTAGAACTCATTGTAACCTAACAACAGCACAAATTTCTAGGCGACCAAAAAGAGCGGTCGATCAAAAGCGAAGGTTGTGAGTGAGCGAGACCCACAAAGTATTGTGGTATTGTATTAAACAATTTCTATTGTTCTTTTGGATATGTAATTCTCTATGTATCTAAACGGATAGCATACTCTTGACACATGTGATGGTCCATGTAACAAGATGGTTTTTAGTCAGCCCAGAAAGATGCACTTTAAAGTAGTTGTGAAATAAGAATATTTTCACCTTTAAGTAATAGATGTAGGTTAATTAAAATCTATAGTCCTTTACGCACACAAAAACCTGCAAGCAGATTTTAATTTAAACCTAGATCTATTACTTCAAGATGAAGTCCTTTGATGACAAAGCAAGTCTGGAATAAGAATAATTTGGTAGTTCCATATAGTTAAAAGTGTGATATACATCATTTGTTTATTTATAGGAAAACAGAGCTGCATCTTTTGGTGTAAAACTATTAAAGTGCATATATCAAAGCATCATTTAGTATAAAAAATTCTGCGTATTTGGTTACCATAGCAACACTACATCATTTTCAAATTATCGTATTTTTGAAATTAAAAAAAATCAAAGCACAAATGTCAAAATCAAGTCAAAATGTAACAATGTAACTTTGATATCCCAATGACAGAATTTGAGATACAGCTATTTCAAAAAACGTTGTCGGGGAGAACTGCGAACGGGGATTGTCGAAGGGAGATTGCACGACCGAAAGGGACTATGGTTACACTGTTTTGATAAACAAAATCTTACTTATTGGATTCACCTTACATAGAAATGGCGACTAAATGGAGCCAATGTTTACCTCAGACCATCTTACAGTACAAATGAGTTATTAATGCCTATCAGCTATCAAAACCCATGGCTTTTTTGCCATTAGCACAACGTAAGCAATACTATAATGCTTTAATTCAACCAATTATTAATTATGTTAGTGCAGTATGGTCTGTGTGCGACCAGGAATATGTAAATAGAATTTTAAGRTTACAGAAACGCGCAGCTAGGATTATTCTTTTTGCTGACAGACAAGCATCGTCTGTCGAACTCTTTAATAGACTTGGATGGATTCCAGTTTACGAACAGTTCAMGATCAATAAGTGCAATATAGTTCATAAACGAATTCATGGCAATGTACCTTCCTTTTTTAAATGAACAATTAGTTCTTAATAGTCAAATTAGCAAAAGATGCACACGCTATTCGAATCTCAATCTTYGCTGTCCAAGATATAATAGAGAATGTGATGGAGGGCACACTTTTTCAGTTTCTGCGACTCGTCTATGGAACAGTTTACCAATTACCACAAGGCGAATTCAAGAGYCTAAGTCTTTTATAAAATCTCTTAGAGATAAGTTTTTATCTGAACAGCAGATTTTATATCATTTTAGAATATAATTACCTATTGATATTTTTACGGTAAATTTTATAATTCTTCCTTTTGTACCATAATTAACTTAGCTTAACACTTAATTAATTTAAGAATTTTTATAGTTTTTAATCTTACGTATTATATAGTATTTTAATAGTAATTTTATATATATATTTAGTAATTTAGGGAGGGCCACAAGTTTGTTAGTTTTTACTATTATGTGTTACCCTCAAGAAATAAAGTCTTTATTATTATTATTATTATTATGGCTACTTTCGGTCGTGCAATGGCCGTTCGACAATTGACATTCGCCATTTTATCCGACAACCTTTTTTTGAAATAGCTATATAAGGGGATTCGCTTCGCTATTAAATTAAAAGAAATATGTCATTGAGAACGGCTCTATTTTTTGCGACAATTTCTCATAAGGAGACTAAAAAAATATAAAATTTACTGCAAATAATGCGCTAAATAAAATGCAATGACGTCATTAAAATGAAAAAATTTCAAAATCAGCATCTGCGCATGCGCGTGGGGTGTAGTGATTTTTCGAATGGATGATGGACAAGAAACCAGTCATTACAGACTAAATTTAACATTTACAATCGATTTTTCCTTTTTCGGCCTCTTTGCTTTAGAAAAATATTATATGGAGCTACTTTAAACATTAGTAAGTTATTTCAGCTATTTTTTACGGTGTAAAAGTTATCTTATTTCACAACTGTTTGATCAGAAACACAACGCAGGTCACGCTAGTTTATCCATCGTTTCAATCACGCCAAAATGTGAAATATTACACTAATTTACTTACAAACACGACCACATTGGACCTTTCTGGCATTCGTCCAAGCAATTTCGTGTTCTATGGCAAACAACGGCTGTGCACATAGCCTTTCTTTTTACTGGGGCAGCGGCACGATCCAAGTATTTCCTGATGAGTGCGCGTAAGAAGACTTCATCCTGCCTCTTTGGTGCTGCATGGCTCCTTTAAACGACCATAAACAGATCATAAAGAATTTATATTGTGAAAATTAGGTGATACAAAATTAACATTGTACTCGCCGGGAAAGCTCACTGGGGAAACTCAATCGATGATAACCGACCATAACCTCATGCAACTGAAACGGACAAGAATCTAGTCCCTTGACGCAAATCTTTGTTTTCCCTTTGGGCTTACGNGCATCATTCAAAAAGCCTTTGTGTTTGGTGAGATCGGCTTTTCGTAAAAGAATTTGCTGTCAAATAAAACCAGTGAGTCATTAAGAATTCGAAAAGGGTGTATTTCTTCAGTTGACTGTATGTATGCTAGAAGTTCTACAACAGTCGAATTTCGCCATCTCTTTAGCACTGTGTTAGCCTCCATTGCGGTAAATTATGCAGAAATTTCGATAAAACTCGTGAGATTTCAAACTTTATTGAGGAGAATATCAGTGTTGATAGTCATCCATGCATACATTGAGATCACAATGCATGAAACCTGCAAAACAATATGAACTGCGCAAAGCACAAAGCGTGAAACACGCAAAGTAAATGTCTATTTCTTCTCTTGATTTTTGTTTCCTCTTAAAAATTTATTATAGTCGTTATTTTCAAAAACCAAGTAGCGAGTCACAAAGAGCACAGTCTGATTATATAAGTCCTGTAGCTTACTTTCTGATGAAGATATTAGCGAATAAAGATTTGAAATATTTGGTTCATTTGTATAAGGGGACGCCATCTTGGATTTCAAGTTGCCTTCAAAACTCTGGTTTCCTTCATAAATTTTGTTCAATTATGGCTTTATTTCAAAGAAAAATCACCTTAAGTAAGTACTTACGGAGTTGAAAGAATGATTTATACAATTTCGAAGTTTGTATTTACGATCTTAAAGTAGAATCTGTCGAATGAATTAAACTCCTCACACACTAAAACTTTTGTGTTTCAACACCAAAGCGTATGAGAATTCGTATGAGAATTATTTACATACACATTATCTAGAAGTATACTTAAAATATACATATATAGAGAGCAAATGCAGGAAAACATGAAATAGAATCAAACTAAATACTATCAAATATTAGAGACAAATTGTCAGTATCAATGWAGAGAACCATAGAACACATGAATCCACATATATGGATGGGACTATTATATTGCATTCATCTTTATTGGGTTCTTGTTGAATTATACTTACAAATTGTCTCTAAATCGCGGCTATTTGTAAGTATTTAGTTTGATTTTATTTCATGTTTTTAATTTGTTAATTAAAGTTGATGCAGGGCCTGGTAGAAGCTCCATTTTAGCCTTATATTCTAGTAGGTTCATGTGACGCTCGAGTGAACTAAAAGCTTAGTGAGGCATCATTCAATTAAACGCTCATGTTATATGTTATGTTAATTTATTACTGAGAAAAATAGTGGCACTATTGCTTTAGAGACAGAAAAGAACGAATTCGCACGCTTTTATTATGTATATGTATCTTCTTGATCAGAGGTGTGATTTTGTTTCCCCTTATTCTGATTGTTAATGAAAGTTCATGCAGCCTGATAGAAGCTTCATTTCAGGTTTAAGCTTGAGTTTTTAGCTAAAGTAGTCTGGTAGGATCATGTAACGCCCGAGTGAGCTAAAACTTAGTAGAGACATCATTCAAAAAGACCTTGCACGGTATAAAGAGAGAAATTGGACATTCATGATGCATACTGAAATGTCGGACGTCGCGAGGTCGTTTTGGCGCCAAGAATATACAAGACTTTGTTTGAACTCCAAAACTCTGCAAAGATTTTTTTTCTTCGATGGATTTCCATTTGCGTTTTTGCGCCAAAACCTCGCCAGATCGCGCGCTTAATATTAATTTATGGTAAGTTAATTTTCTACAGAGAGAAGTATCGTTTATTACTCTATACTATTGATTTTTAAGAATTTATTTCCAAGAGTCTTTCGCCTGGAAAAACTTCCTTTCTAATCAATATATCTTTCCACTACCTCGATCTATTTCGTGTTTCCCTTAATATGTCTTCGTGGCTTTCAGTGTCATGGCGTGTTCATCTACATGGATTGGTAACAAGTTTTGATAAACATGTTGAAAGTCATCAAACATGTGCGAGATTCTTTATTACAAAGATAACACGTTGAATTGCAAATACGTTTACGAAAATCATAAAATCGCAACTGTTATTGATTGCTTCTATCTCTAGATTCTACGAATTATCTATGACGCTGCCTAATATATCTATACGTCAGTAACATTTGCTGACTTGTGCACACTTCAATCATAAATTGAATAATAAAGTGATTTTTTTCTTGAAATATCATCTAAACACCTTAATATCATTAGCTGTTATCTTACATATGATCCAAATTAAAAACAACAATAATAAAACGACAAACGAGGCTGATATATAATTCACATAACGTGTCGTTGAATTCTTAATAAAAGATCAAAATAATTACTAAATCTTACAACTTTAAAAACACTGCATTGACTCAGTTGTTATGAATTAAACATGCGCTCCTTAATGCAGAAATCATTTCTTAGATTATTTTTGTTTTCTCGTCGACAGAAACGTGGCAGCCTTTCACGCTAGAAAAATGTATAAATCTTGTTGGCAAATTACCATGTGAACGAAAAAGGAGAATTCCAGATGGTCAATCGCAGTCGACGTTAAGATATATTTTCTTCTGGACGTCTGTGTCTAAAGAAGTAGCGCGCTACGAGCAACTGAACACACAGACTTCTTTGCATCGTTTTTCTTCTTTGTAAAAGGTATGATAACAACCTAGTACATAACGTTATATTCTTTGAATGTTGTAATCAGTTTGTGCATAGTATTCGAATACTATCATTAACCTAGAATTTGAGAAAATAGCTAGGTATAAAATAACGAGTTGTGAACCGTTTTTGAAATGACACTTTTGAAATCATAAAGGTTTTTATCTTACAAATGTTTTTTAAACGTTTCCTGTTTGACTTTCTTTAAACAATTTGTAAGAATATGTCTAGAATGTAATCAGTTAAATCATTCGAGACGTTTTTTTTATGTTTTTGTTTTTCGTTTGGTTATAGTCTTACAACCTTGTTGTACCGCAAAAACAGAACTGGAAAAGAAAGGATTTTCACTTTTTGAATACGATTGCCAACGAAAAATGCCCGTAATAAACAAACGAACAGTTCTGTATTATTCTAGAATTTCCTGTTATCCTGATATGTTCAAAATGTATTTAAATTGTAATTAGATTTTGAGGGTTTTTTTTCAATCTTAGCTATAGTGGTTCAAAAACAACATGGATCAAAATTGAGGTTTGTCGTTGATCCAATTGTTATCTCAAGCTGCACTTGAAAAAACCTTGAAGAATGATTTACAGGACAACAGAACGATGGAGTGTTCTACTGACCTGTTGCTTGTCAGGGATTTTTCAACTCAAATGTCAGTAGCAATTCAAACTGATGCTTGCTGATGTGTTTATTGAACAAGAGTTGCTTAGAAGTCATTTGTCAGTATTCCAGACAACTATAACATGAATGATGTTCAACTTGTAGATTTATTATCGTCATAGTCAAGGAAATTGAATTGAATGTACGTGAAGCTAGCTACATCTGATATTCAATGTGACAATCATATCGGTTAGAAGTAGAAACATTCAGTGTTCATGTGGAGTAAAGTCAGACAGCATGGCTGACTTGTAGTCAACCCGGCTGCAGATAGATTAATCTAACTACAGTCAAACTTAATAGAAATGATTTATACTTATCTATTGCAGTTATTATAAGCATGATATTATGATTTTCTGTGAATTGAAAAAGGGTTTAAACATTTTGAAAGCATTAATCATACTCAGTAAACCATTGTAGATGGGTGGAGTTTATGAAGTTATAGGCTTGACAGATTCGCACTGCAGCGCCAGTCAGCATTTCTAATTAAGTCTATCGTATCGTATCAAATGGCAACAGACTGAGTAGAGCTTGTAGTACTGTGATATTTTTAAAGTCACTGAATTCTAATATTCCTCGTGTTATGATATGTGGTTTTAAATCAACATCATTTCCATCTTTTTTTGGGGGGGACCTGTGTATTTAGTCTCTCACCTGTGTTATCATTCAACTTTAATAAGGAAGGGAACTAACTAGAAAACTGACAAGTTAATTTAGTCCTCTGTCTCATCTATACCAAATTAGTAAAACTTAAAATTTATATGACATTTTCACCTGTTATACATATACCTAATACAATGCAAAAATTGTAACAACATTTGAAGAGAGAATAACTGTTCTATACTATTCCTGTCTCAAGCAAGATGTGGAATTTATAGAACGCAATAAGAACGGAACATGGAACGGCACGACAACACTTCTTCTTTACTCTTTCCTCACTGATGCGCGTTCGTGTTAAAGCCGGTAAGACCTGGAACCATGCATTCAATAGATATTAATCTTTTCTTTCGYGGACCGGCCTYATTTCTCGAACWCTGATGCGCGTTCGTGTTAAAGCCGGTAAGACCTGGAACCATGCATTCAATAGATATTAATCTTTTCTTTCGTGGACCGGCCTTATTTCTCGAACACTGATGCGCGTTCGTGTTAAAGCCGGTAAGACCTGGAACCATGCATTCAATAGATATTAATCTTTTCTTTCGTGGACCGGCCTTATTTCTCGAACACGTGTAAATCATAAAACAAAGAGCGATAGCGGCTTTTCATCCTTTGGTTCGCAGTTGTCATTTGGCAGCCATTAGCAATAAAAGTGCTTTGGTAAAAATGTGTGATTCAATCAGTTGAAATCCCAATCTTTTTGCCTATTCAAGCTTAATATCACTGTTTCAAACTCAATATTAGGTATACTGAATGCTCTTTTATCATTGACTGTGATCTATGACTTCAATAAAAAAAATGCCAACGAACCAATCAAACCTGCCGTTCGCATTGTTATGTCCATATTTGGTGAATCTTACCATATTTGATAGTACGATGAAATTCGTTTTCGGTGTTTTTCGAAAAATTTAAAAGCTTGAAATAATAATAAAAGTTCCATCATGAAAAATACCCAGAAACTATAAAGAAGGAAGGAATAAAATACAAATAGAACAAAAAAATAAAAACCGTTAGCCATATTTTCACTTTTTTACGACCTTGACATGTCAATGATGTCAAAAAGCACGAGAAAAGATTGACTAGCTTTTGATAGAGTTAATATTGATATATGGTGGGACGCTGTTTATGAATTTTCACCCACAAAGTTTGATATTGTTCTGATTTATTTTAAGACATACTTGACACTTATCAGTGTTCAGTTCTTCCGCTTGTAATATTTATTTAACTACTTTCAAACACTTGAAAATGACGACATGGAATCGTAAAGTTGTGGGTTCATGGCCGCCAGACACTATGCCTACTGTCTTCTGCTGCTAACAACTTGACTTTTTGCTCTAATAGGGACCCTTTTCGCTGCTAGGTGACTTGCTGGCGGCCCGAGGGCGCGAAATCAAATGGCGCGAAAAGAAATGGAGCAAGCGCGCGTTGAAAGCATTCCAAATGTTGCGGCAATATCCATGTTGTTTGAGAGGCACTATAGAGAAAGGATGTTCGCTATCTTATCGCTTGTGGGTAAAAATATATAAGAATATATCAATACAGAAACACATACATGTATACAAATAAACTGTATAAAATAAAATTTGGACTAAAAGACTTGAATGATTGCTACAAGCTGGTTTCGTATGGTCATCATGCTCCTTGGAGTTAGCACTTTTTATGAAAACATTTTCAATAATTTTAAGTCAAATAAAAAATGTATATACCGCGTAAAGGTAGATGGAAAGTACATTTTGTAGTACATAGATATGTTTCTGCGTGTGTGATAATGCATCAATAATTATTGAATAAACAATAATTTAGTGAGTCAATCAAGACATGAGTAGAAAAATGAAAAATGAATTTTTGGATGGATGAATCATTGATAAATTAAACCATTTGTGAATAAATTTGTGAATAAAATAATATAACAAATAAATAATTGGATAGATAGATAAATAAAATAGTTATGGAAAATTATGAATAAAATAATATTATAAATAAACAATTGGATGGATGAATCATAAATAAAACCATTTGTTCCAGAAAAAAACAACGCAAATTAAACTGAGAAACACCGTTAAAGCGCGGTGAGTGACCCCATGGTTAAATCTTAAACAGAATTGAATCTTTTACTTCCTTGTGTAGTTTGACATTTACACCATAAGCATTAGCTCTAACCTCCATTTAAAACTGCCTAAAGACAACATCAGTCAGGAGAAAATCACGCCATTAATCACTATGACGTAATCTTGAAACATTAATCCATATATAAGGTTCCTCCTATATTTGAAAATTTGCATAAGATAGGAATCATAACTAGAAAGATACCTGAACGACTAAGGAAAGCCAGAATACTTGTGTACTCCGATATCAATCACGCATAAACATCGTTGCCAACTTTGAGAAGCCTATCTGGCGTACTTAGGTAAGGTCTTTAGGATTTCGACACTGATTTTAAACAAAGCTATGCCAGTATTTGAATCTGCACTTAATTAGAAAAAAACTAATTCAATAAATATGAAAAGAAATTCAATAGTGAGGACATTCTGTAAGGTGCGTTTATCAAAAGAAAGCTTTAAAAGTTTGAAGTTCACTTTTGTTCGGAATATAAGAAAGTCCATTTAGTGACGATTTCGACGCTTTTTTTCGACTTTTTAGAATGTCTTTTGCACTATACAAAGCTAAAGCAATATATATCCGTGATTGAAAAATATACTAAAACTGTTTTTGAAATGAATTGAAGCTAATACATGCAAAAGGAAAAAGTGAGTGAAAAATGTCTTGTGCCGAGCTTGATTTAATGCACTAGTAGTACTGTAAGTTATTATAAAAAAATAATCAAAATTTTAAATAACGAAGCGAAAGATTAGCTACTACTTTGAGGCAATCATTTTCAGGAACATTGAATTCATAACAGAAATTAGAAAGATGAACAAAAAATTTCTAGAGTATTAAAAAGCTAGTTAAAAGCCATGCTGAGTACAATACTCGCCGACATCTGTTGAAAACAACGGAAAAAATAACTGAATTATCGTAAAAACAACATCTAATAGTCAAGGTGTAATAGTCAACACACGCAACGAAAACAAAGGGATTTTACCGAGACCCCACCAAAGGATGAGGCCATTAGACAAAAAAAATTAACATTGAATTAAAGAAAATAATTTCAAAAGTTTAAAGACGCAAAAAAGCAATGAGTGTTATGAGATGTATCTATTTCATGGTTTTTTCACTTCACAATTTAACAGTAAATATTGATTATTTGATTTTTTCATTAAACTAGTAGACAGCCACAGGAACATCTTTTACTCAAATGATATCTTCGTGTCTTAGTTGTTTCATCGTCAAGTTGTGGTTTTTGGATTATTTGACTAGACAGTGCCGCTATTTAAACTTTTATTTGGAAAAACACGAAGAAAAGAACCGCACTCAAAAACTCGATACCTGAGTCAACTCGCACTGATAGGTGTTGTAGAACCGAGAATATAAAAGAAATACCAAAGCTGAAAAATACGCGGTAAACGTTGACACGAAATGTGGAGAGTAAATGGTGTATGTTGATAAATAATCATATATTCATACCATGCGTTGGGAGGCACTGCTATTATCTTTCTCTAATATAACAATCAATGTTTACTCGTTTGCCTGACATCGCTGACTTGATATAGCATGTGATTCGATTAAGTAAATTGAAA